AGTGGACATCCACCTCCCTTCTCTCTCAATAGACACAGACCATGGAGAACGCTGGGGATATTAAGTCTGAAACTGTTGGATTTGCTCCCAAGAATACTTTCTAATTTCTTGGCTTCAAAATGCAATAGAAGAAACTTTGTAAACACAATGCAGTTACTCTTAACAACGCAGTAAAGAGAGGCAATAACACGTCTAAGGGCACCTAAATCTTCTCTCCCAATCTAGCAGGAGATAGGGAAGAAAGATTTCCTAGAGGAAAGCCTGGGTGTCCTTAGTGGACACAACAATTCACTGAAGAAGTGAGTGAGAGTGATCGGAAAAAAAAAAATGTGAAAAGGCCTTCATCCATTCAGTCAGTCACTCAACTATTGACTATCAAGTATCTATTGTGCCATGCAGTGTTCTAGGCTGTGGAATTATAGCTGTTGATATGAAACACATAGTCCCTGTTCTCCTTGTTCTCAAATAAGACATACGTGAAACAGACAGAAGACAGAAAATGAACAAATACATACATATATAAATATATATTCAAAATTATTACTGAGAGTTATGACTAATGTTAATAAAATAAGTTGGGGTGATCTGACTTGAAGGAAGGACTGCAGATAATGTAGTAAGGGAAAGCTTCTTACTGAAGTGATAGGTGAGCTGAAGTGTGAATGAAAAGAGAAGACAGTCATTTGGAACTAGGAAGAGTCCAGTCTGAGGAAGAGCAAGTCTAAGTCCCTGCTGGAAACAGGAGACAAAGGGGAAGGCTAAGATGTCTGAGATGCAGTGAGAGATGAGGGAGTATTATGCCATGAGGATGGAGGGATAGAAAACCAGAACTAGGTGTTGTAAGACTTTATGGGCTGCAGGAATCTGGAATTTTCTACAAATATGATGAAAGCCATTGGAGAGTTTTAGGCAGAAGAACTTCATGATATAAATCAAAAAAAAAAATCTCTGGCTTCTGTTTAAAAAACCCACTGTCAAGTGTCAATAATCATGAGTCAGTTTGTGGTTCGTTACAGTAGACCATTTGAGAAGTGATTATGTCTAGATCTAGGATGATGGAAGTGGACGGATTTGTGACATTTTATGAGTTAGAAATAAAAGGCTTTGCTGATAGACTCAATGTAAGCATTAAGAGAAAGCATAAATCAACTCTTCTCTTTAAGAAAGTTGATGGATAATGGGGCCATTTGTTGGTATAGGAAAGAATGGGAGAGGAAAACATTCTGGATGATGGGAATCAGGGGTTACATTTTTGGCATGTTAATTGGAGATAACATCAAACTTGGAAGTTAGATATGAGTCTATAGTTATTGTCAAATGCTCTAGATGCTTACTAAACATGGTAATTTGGTGGACACTAGCATATAGATCTTGTTATATATGGTCATGGGATTGGAGGAGATCACTAGGACAAAATGTATTCAATTGGAGTTCAAGTGGAAGGATCCAAGACCAGATTGCTTTATGTAATAAGTAGTGGGCCAGAGTAGTGGAGGAGAAGGCGAGAAGAACCAAGGTGAAGGAAGGAAAGAGCAGTTTTCAGAAGTGTGTGTAAAGAGAATTAGGAAAGATTGGAGCAGCTGCCCTGTGGGGTTTGACTTTGGGAAGAAAGATGGCTAAAGATGATTTTCTCTGTGAGCCATACTATCTGACCTCCTCCATCGTGCTCCTAAGAAATTTTCAGAGAATATATTCATGATTTTTCAGAGATTTTGTATGGATTCAGATTTATTTTCCCTTTTTTTTTTCTTGATGAGGAAGATTGGCTCTGAGCTAACACCAGTTGCCAACCTTCCTCTTTTTGCTTGAGGAAGAGTGGCCCTCAACTAACATCTGTGCCCATCTTCTTCTATTTTGTATGTGGGTTGCCACCACAGCATGGCTTGATGAGTGGTGCAGGTCTATCCCTGGGATCCGAACCCACAAACCTGGGCCACTGAAGCAGAATGTGCCAAACTTAACCAATATGCCACCAGGCCAGCCCTTTATTTTTATTTTGAATCTGTGACAAAGCGGGGTCTGGTCTTGAGGTAACTAAGTATATCTCAGTTGCTCATATATTATTGTATTTAATTCATTCAACAACCCCATGCACAAGGTTATACTGTTATTCCCATTTTACTTTTTTTTTTAAGATTAGCACCTGAGCTAACATCTTTTGCCAATATTTATTTAATTTAATTTAAATTGTTTTTTTCTTATTCTCCCCAAAGCCCCCTGGTACATAGTTGCATATTCCAGTTGTAGGTCCTTCTGGTTGTGCTATGTGGGACGCTGCCTCAGCATGGCCTGATGAGTGGTATCATGTCTGCGCCTGGGATCCGCCAAAGTGGAGCACGTGAACTTAACCACTCAGCCACAGGGCTGGCACTCTCATTTTACATTTTAAGCTTAGTTTGTTAGATTTGAATTTTCAATACCCAAAAGATTTTTAAATTATTTTCTCTTACCTGAAGAGTACCCAGGAACTGAAAATAAGAATCAAAAGTTTAGAGGCCCGCCTGGTGGTGTGGTGGTTGAGTTCACGTGCTCTGCTTTGGTGGCCCAGGATTGGCAGGTTTGGATCCTGGGCAAGGACCTAGCACTGTTCATCTGGCCAGGCTATGGAAGCATCCCACATAAAATAGAGGAAGATTGACACAAATGTTAGCTCAGCGACAATATTCCTCAAGTAAAAAGAGGAAGATTGGCAACAGATGTTAGTTCAGTGACAATTTTCCTCACCAAAAAGAAAAAAAAAAGAATCAAAGGTTTAGTTTTGAAAGATTTTTTGTCCCATTTTTATTTACCCAGGGAAAACAAAGAGAAATGGAGGGAGACGGGAAAGAATCAAAGGGTTTTTCTTGTGGTTCTTGGCTTGAAAGACAGAGACCCTCACAGATTATACATCCAATAAAAACCATCTGAGCCACTCTCCAAGATTCCTAGACGTATGCATTGAGAAGTCAGAAGGCTTCCCATGGCATTCTCAGGAGCAGAGGTCTTTGGGGCTATTATCTTTTCAGGAAGCTGCTCTGGGTTTCTGTTTGCTAAAATGAGTGTAATATGACCGTGAACTCTGAGTGTAATAGGATCCTGAATTCTTCTATCAGTGGGATCTTGGGTTGAATGGCCTGTCTGTCCATCATCTATTTGCTGGGTCTCCAAAGCCCTCACCCAGTGCTCAAGATTTCTTACCTTGAGATTTGGTTCTTAGTATTTCAGATATTTTTCCTAAGTACCATCTTAGTCCACAACGTACACTCAACATGTTCGCTAATGAACTTTTCTGCTATCAACTTAAATAATTTATAAAATAAGCTTAATATATATTCTGATTATTATAAATAACTTTTTAATAAATAATTTTCATAATAATCCAGATTCATAAGTACTTTGTAGCACACTTGCGCCAGAAATACACTCACTGAAAAGTGTTTAAGTAAACATATTTCGCCTTCAGAGAATTAAGGCTTTCCCCACAAACTTCTCTCTACCACCCAAAGGTCTTCAAGTTGTGCAAGGTCACAGCTAAAATATGGCAGTCAGGATTAAAATTCAGGCATTTCTGACTCCAGAGTCCTTGCTTTCAAACTTCCTAGCTTGGTACAGGTACTCAGTACATGTCAGTCTATTGCTAGTACCTACTAACTATTTGTGAATAAAATCAATATTCAGAGAATCTGGATTATAATTACATATTTGCAATATACTGACCTTTGAGACAAAAATTAGTTTATGAATATTATTGGTTTCATCACCTATACCATGAAAATTAATATACTCTATTTTCCATAATATGCCATCAATAAATAAAAAACAACTACATAGCACTAGAGAAATTTTTGGAGTGCTAAATCACATTATCTTAAAAACATCTTACTTCTACGCAAAGCTTGTTGCCAAGAGAAACAGAATAATCATTAGTACTTTGACAACCATCTAGTCCAATACTCCCACACATATTTTGTCAAATAATGATGCTGAAAATCACTTGCCCACATCATATAGCTAATGAAAAAATGAGAACCAAAGCTCAAATGCTCCGACTTTAACTTTTGTACTCTGTTATATATACACTTTTCAGTCATTGCTGTTGTCCATGTTCACCGTCTCTTTTTGATATCTGAGATATCTGAAAACAGAAATTAAGTATATGGGTTATTTATCATTCATATCCTTCCACTCCCGACCCTCACCCCATGAGGTGTAAACCATTTTCTGTGCTTTAGAAAACCTCCTTTCTTTTTTTCCCAAGAATATATGCAAATTAGGGTGTCAGAGTTTCTACCTTAGAGACTGTTAGGTTAACTGGTTCTACAAATATGCTAAATAAGAAAGAAAAATGGACGAAATAGTTCCCACTGGCAATACAGAATATTCTCAACATTATTGTTTAATCAGCTGACAACTTAAATTTGGCATTGTGCAAAGCAGGACACTTTGGGATACATTTGGGAGGCGGGGGAATCACGTCATAAATTTTGCTTCTTGCTAGTGTGTTCTCTGCAGCCCACAGGATAATGCTCATTGGAAAGTTTCCTTTTGGCTTTTCCTATTGAATAGTAAACTGATATATTCTGTCTTTCCATATATTGTTATTCTGACTATGACAGATTTCTGAACAATTTCCATGCCCGATCACTCAACCTCATATGATCTGAGGAAATCATTTTATTACAGGCTAAGACATTACTTCAATGTGAAGGTAAAAAGAACTTACTCTGAGGGGCTGCTCGGTGGCACAGTGGTGAAGTTCCCACATTCTCCTTCAGCAGCCCGGGGTTCACTGGTTTGGATCCCGGGTGCGGGCATGGCACTGCTTGGCAAGCCATGCTGTGGCAGGTGTCCCACATATAAAGGAGAGGAAGATGGGCACGGATGTTAGCTCAGGGCCAGTCTTCCTCAGCAAAAAGAGGAGGATTGGCAGCAGATGTTAGCTCAGGGCTAATCTTCCTCAAAAAAAAAAAAAAGAACTTTGACACAGTAGAATGTAATAAAGCAATTTTTGATCAGTTTGAATGAGATGAGTGAGAAAGAAAACAAAGCCTTTGGCACTGGGAGTGTCCGCCTCTTGCTTTGATACCTTTTCTAACACTGCAGAAACAAGTTGGGTCACTTCTCCTCCTCCCAGGCTGTTTGCTTACCATCTGTCAATGCTGAAAAAATACAAAGAATGCTGTATAATTATTGTTCTTATGAAAAAGATGAATGCAAATTTTCTTAGGGCTAAAACTTTCTTAGAGCAGCATAATGAGCTGCAAACTCTGCTTCTAAGAAATCTGTGTAATACTCTCTGGATATCTTAGTCCTTATTTATCCTAATAGCACATTATCAAGAACAAAACACCATACACCATATAGTGAAATACTAGGCAGGTGTTGAAAAAAATGCAAGATGTCCAATATATTTTGTTAAGTGAGAAAAATGAGTCATAAAAGAAAATTTTATACCATTTAGTGAATATTTAGAACACTATACCATTTCGGTAAACACACATACATACACATACATACAATAAATCATTTTGGGAATAGGAATGAATTTATTTCACAACAGTAGGGACAAAGAAACATCCTATGTCTGTATTTTTCTGTCTCTCCCAGCTGGGAGAAAGTTCAATCTCAGTAGTATTTTGAGATTGAATTTTCCTAAGATTATACGAGAGTTCTGGATCTTAAAAGTCATGTAACTTTGGGAAAAACATCTCTCCTTGCTTCTATCACCACCACCAAAGAGGTGAACCTTGCCCAAACCTGGGTGGCATTTTGGAGATTGGCTGCTTTTGTTGCTCATAGACTCCATTCCTTCAAAATCCACTCAGCCACCAGGAAATTTGCTAGGCTCCCAAGATCTGGGCCATTAGAGTTCCTTTTTGTTTCCTCTATGAGTCTCTCCCACATGGCTTTTGCTATCTCTGAGGTGATGTTTGGAACTGGACACAGGACTCTACTGTCTGCTGAATCTAGCACCTTTCCCGTTTTCAGTGTCATGGAATCCAACTCTTCTCTTTAGGGACCTCCCACTCACTTCTTCTTCAATCCCACTGACTCCTTCTTCTCCCATAATATAGCTTTATTATCTCCTAGGAGACAATGAAATCTAGGTCTTCAAGACAAGAATATCCATCCTTAGAGATGAGGCAACACGCACACACAGGTGTGCCATGATTATTCACTGCAGAAATATGTATAACAGCAAAATATTGGAAATAACCTAAATATCTAATAGAAGACTGATTAAATAAACTGTGGAAAAATCCACACAATGAAATAAGCTATACAAAAGAATGAGATGGTCTCATGAAGTGATAGGAAGTGATTTCAAAGATATGCTGTTAGTGAAGAAAGTAAGATGCATATGAGTATACACAGAAAGATGACAAAATAGGAATATATATTTTGAGTGGGTAGATGCTGCTAATTTTCACAAAAAAAAACAAACTAGATAGCTTAAACTATACAAAAATGATAATTATTACCTACAGGAGTAGTTAAGAAGGCAGTAGGTAGGAGGGACAGAAATAGGAATGAGATGTCGCTGATTATATTTTTAAACATAGTTTAAAAATTATAGTTTTAGCATTTGAGCCATATAAATATTTCTGAATTAAAAGAATTCAATCAAAATGAATGTAAAAACATAACCCTAAAATTAAATACAAACAGAAACAAATAAACCTAATGTTTAATCAAATTGATAGCATAACCACACAGAAAAATAATCAAATGAAGTTACTTGTAGACACATCACCTTTACTGTATATTCTTGGTCAATATAGTATAAAAAATCAATAACTGCAAAGAAATTTAAACTTAATCTAAATTTTTTTTATTAGAATAGAACACATGAGTAAATAGAATGATACATTTTGGAGTCAGGGATCTCACTATGGGGGAAAAAGAGAGATATAAATATGGAATGAGGAGAAGATCAAGAAGAACTCTATGGTGATATAGTTTAAATGAGAGGAACCCATATGAACTCATGATGTTTTTAAAGATATCTATCTCAACTGTCCATTGAAATAATCTAGAAGAAATGACGTCCCAGTAGCAATGAGCACACCTAGGACCAAGATCTTGGTTTCTAAATACTCTCTATCTCTAAAAGAAAACAAAGTTCCTTGGAAAGATGGTCGATTCCAAGTATGGGCAGGGAAAATACAAAGTCAGCCTGTAAAATCCTGCACTGAAGAGCTCAAAGAATGATGGAGAAATATCCATAAGACACAAAGTCAGCTTCACAGGCTCCCATTGACCAAACTGCTTTCAATTGAGCATCTAAAAGAATAAAGATGTAATAGATTACAACGTATTGAATAAAAACAGTCCATGAGACCATAATAAGATTCCACAAAAAGTGGGGATACAGATGGTAAAGTTTTCATTTAAATAAGAATAACCAATAAATGTGGTAGGAATGAAAAAATCATGAAATCATCCTTTTGCTCAAACATCAAGATTGGGACATTATTGAGAGACAGGATATTCACATAATTTAAAGTATCACACCACAGAGTACCTCTTGGTTGCGAAGAGAGAGCTAGGAGATATGCCTTAACCAAACAATCAAAATTAGTATCATCAGTAATGAGACAAACACACTTCATACGCCTCCTGATGTGATGCAAGGCAAAATCCAAGATAGTACCTAAGGAATATTCTTGCCAAAATGTTTAACTTGAATCTAGTAATGAGGAAATTATTAGGCTAATCCAAATCTGAAGGTATTCTACACATCAATTAATCCATACTCTTACAAAATATTACTGTCATGAAAAACAAACAAAAAAAGCAAGAGGGTCATTTTATATTAAAGGAAACGAAAGATACGTGACAAACAAACACTAAGAGTGATCCTTAACTGGATTCAAACTCAGGGCTAGGGGCTGGGGGTTAATTTGGGAGCATGACAACGGTTTTGTGTTTATGCAAGAGAATGTCCTTGTTCTACAGGATGTATGTCCTTGTCTTAGGGGATATATGTTGAAGTATAAATGGGTCAAATGTAATAATATCTGCATGTCTGCAACTTACTTTCAAATATTTCAGCAAACTAAATGGCAAAATGTTAACAATTGGTGGCGTCAGGTGAATGTTATATGAGTACTCATACTTTTCTATAGGTTTGAAATTTTTGAAAATAAAAAGTTTGAAAAACAATTGTAAAGAGAGGGTAAAAGATAAAAACAACTGAAGATAAAATTTTAAATTTTGCAAAGAAAAAGATAGGAAGATTCAGCTGTTTTAGGGGTGGTGGCAATGGTGAGTTAGAGGAGTCAGAGAAAATTACGTCTTAAACTTACTATCATAGGATACAGGATACTAGTATCCTACAGCTGAATATTATATAGAGCTCATTTCTCTGTGAGATTATTCTGCTACATTAATAAATACAATAAAAAGGAAAAAAAACCTCTTAAAGCATATAAACCAAACCACAAATAAATAATGGCTATAGGAGAAAGAGATTGACTTTGTGCATATAAACCAAACCACAAATAAATAATGGCTATAGGAGAAAGAGATTGACTTTGTGTATAAGACGGGGGGAATATGGGCTTCTCCCACCAGCTCCATCACAGGTTGGCCAACTAGGTCTCAGGCCTAATCTGACCCCTGATCTAAGTCATACATTTGTACATTTGAAATTTTTAAAAATCAAATATATTTCAGTTTTTCAGTCAGAAAAATAAAAAATAAAAAGAACTAACCAGTATAGCATGTTCAAGGCTTAGCTTTTCCAGACTTTGCTTCATTAAATGAAGGCTATATAGACTGGCTTTCTAAAAAGAAGGAAAGCATAAATAAAAGAAACACGTAAATAAGGAAAAAGTATTCATTTAACACAGTACATCAAGGTAGATGGGCAGAGTGTTTGATAAGACTTATTTTACATTACCCAGTACTTATAAAAAATATGAGCTTACTTTTCCAGGAATCATAAAACACATTTGCTGAATCATTCACTAATTCCACTGGCGCCTCGGAAGAAATGTGTCAAATATTTTGGAGTTTTCTAAATTCAGGTTCAGAAAGGTTAAGTAGCTTGCCAAGCAGCACAGCACAGCTCAACAAATTACTGCAAAGAAAACAAGAAGGAGCTCTGTACTTGAATCTTGATTGAATCGATCTAAAAGAGAGTCAAGAATTTTATCTGGGACCTTTACATGAACTAAAACTTTTTGTATTTTAGAAAGAAAGGGGAAACACTGGCTACCGCACCCTTGGAGAGTGTGTGTCACTAATTGGCTTGGCATGATGGGCTCTGCCTTCTTTAAGAAGGTAACTCAACCCTGCTGGTAACCTCAGATTTAAAAAGGTTTTAGGACTCAAATCAAGAAAATCAAAGTTTCTCTGTTCTTGTAATGGCCTGCATTGTTGTTTTGATAAAAAGCGGCCAACAGATTCTCTGCCATCACTATCAGCAATTTATGTCTTAAAGAAACAAAGACTAAGGTGGTCAGACTTGAGTGTTTCCCTGCTTCTCATGGGTGAGCTGAAATGGAAGAACTGGCAGTGCCCCCTGCCTTGCTGCCTTCCTCCACACACAGCTCCCATTCCTGGCAGGCATGGGAAAGAAGAAAAGTCAAGCACTTTACTTTTCTTTTTTTTAAAATCCAGCCTCAGCCTGATCCTATAGGGAGCTCTGGAACATGAATTGTACCCCACAGCTTGTCCTGCCCAGACACAAGTTAGCTGGCCTGGTGTACCCCCACTTCACTCAGTCACTAGCTGTGAGCTGCCTTTGGTGGGACAGCATATCCTTCTAGGAATTCCAAGCAAGGTGGCTTCCATAGGGTGAGGCGGTTCCCATCAGCCAGTGGCAGGTCTCTCTGAAGAGGCAGGTGTAAGCTATTATCAGCAGCTGAAGCACAGATGCCTGACCTGGTGAAGGAGATCTGGTTAGGACATCAATAGCATCTACACCGATAGCCAAATAGCCAATGAAGATATAAAAGTATGCTTATCCTCATCAGTTACAAAAAATGGAAATTAAAGCCTAATGAGATACCACATGTTCCACATGCATTGGAAAAGAATGTATACTCTGCAGGTGTTGGGTATAGAGTTCTATCAGTCTGTTAGGTGCAGTTTATAGTCGTTCCTGTCTATATCTTTTCTGCCTTTCTGTCTACTTGTTCTGCCAAATACTAAGGGAGGATTGTTCACATCTTCAATTATGATTGGGTGTTCTTCCTACTTGGCTTTTTATTTCTCTCACTTTGGCTCCATGTACTTTGAAGTTTGGTTACTAGATGCTTACACATTTAGGACTATAATGCATTCTTAGTTAACGGACACTGTTATCACGTGACATTTTTTCTTTCTCTCTAGCAATACTCCTTATTTCGAAGAGTACTTTGTGTGATATTAATTGATTAATCATATTTCCATGCTTTTCATTAAAAAGAGAAAGAAAAGCCAAAAAGAAAAGATATTTCTTAGCTTTTTCTCCATGTGTGTTGGCTTCTTAGGGAGGAAAACCTATGCCCATGCTGACTCCATGAAAATCACTGCTCTCAATGTTTTCCTGAGGAAACTCACAGAGGCATTAAGTAATAACCAATAAATTCACTTTCTAGAAGCCATGGTGTATGTGCTCATTTAGAATTTGAGTCTATTCTAAGCTCTTTGTATGTATCCCAGACTTTATTTATTCTTCACGGCTTAGACTGGATGGTACATCTTCATCTGAATCCACAGTCTCAAAACTCAGTATTCAAAATAAGACAGTAGCAGGATTAACATTTCCTTCTTTCAGAAAACTAGGCTTTGGGGGAAGGAGGTGAAGGTGAGAAGGTTGTGTCTCGGCCATGTCCTACACAATATAAACAAATGTATGTCTTGATGACTTATTTCCATTATGGTTTGTATTGTTTCATAGAAAGCTTGATGATATCCAAATGTGTTATTCTGGCCAGGCACACATCCAGGTTTCCTAATGATGACAGGCCATGTGTCCTCATTTTCAGTACTTTGTAGTTGTTATAAAACTATATAAATAATAGAGGGATTTTTAAAAGCAAATTTATGAGGTACAATGATTCTGGGGTGTGTTGTTTTTAAAAAATAATGTTATTGCTTTGACAGCATTTTAATGCTGTTTTTGCTCTCACAACACTATTTACAATAGATTCGACTTTGCACACTTCGTTATTTATCAAAATCAAACCCTGAATCAGAACCTGGGTTTATCCAGGTTCCTCCAAAACTGCACTAGACGCATTCCTCATTAGGCATCTGTTTATTCCAAAACATACACATACACAGTGGATAGAATTAGATAACACTTTTTTGGCTTCCTAAATGGGTTAGACTTAGTAAATATGGTACTCGCTTTTCAACTGATTCTGCCATCTGTCAGCAAACTTATTGTTTTTAGCAAGGGTTTTTCTTGTAATAATTTACAAGTTGATTTTCTTCCTTTGTTCTTTTCATGAAGATACATGTCCTTAAAATTTAAGGGAGAAGTAACACATAAAATAAATTCATCCACAAAACAGAAACAGCAGAGACCACATTGCTGCTGGAGAGTTAAAAGACATATGAAATTTAACCATAGAAGAGTTTTTTTTCTTATGGGAATGGAAGGAGAGTGAGTCTCAACATTCTGCAGGTGACTTCTCAGTCCCAGCTCCAGCTGGGAGGCATCTGTACGGGAGAAACAGTACACAATGGAAGGAATTTGTTTCTCAGGAAAAGACGCAAAACAGGGAACCTCAGGGACAGAGGAGTTTCCAATAAAGCCATCTAGTTCTGGGCTCTGCCCTCTGCCATGATCATAAGAGCTAACTTTTGCAGAGTGCTTGCTCTCCAGCTTATACTAGCAGGGTTTATTGTATTTTGTGTCTGCCAAATTGAATGTCTTTGGGAAGTTACTTAGCCTCTCTAAGCCTCAGATTTCTTGAGAAACAAGTAACATACCATAGTGTGTTTAGTATGGTGCCTGACATTTATTATACGTGCAATAATTATTGGTAGCAAGGTTATACACGTATTCTTTTAAGAGAGCTCCTTTTTTTTCTTCCTCCCCAAAGCCCCAGTACATGGTTGTATATCCTAGTTGTAAGTTGTTCTAGTTCTTCTATGTGAGCTGCCACCACAGCTTGGCTACTGACAGATGGGTGGTTTAGTTCCACCACCAGGAAGCAAACCTGGGCTGCCAAAGCAGTGAGCACCAAACTTCAACCACTGGGCCACTCTCTTGAGCATCAGGGCTGGCTCAAGAGAGCGAGCACCTTGATTGATAGAAGGACTACATCTTCTTCACTTTTAGATGTTGAGTGCCTTTCCTAGTTCCCAGAATATAGCAGGCAGTTTATAAATATTTGTCAAATGAATGGATGGACAGATGGGAGGACCAGTGCATAAATAATCATGTTATTTTTATTTTATTCTCAAAGTAACCCTATGAATTGTTACTTTTCACATTTTATAGATGAGAAAATTGAAGCCCTGTAAAGTTCTGTAACTTCCCCAAGCTTAATTAGCAAGGAAATCGAGACTCAAACCCAAATCCAGTCATTATTCTTGTTACCAAACAGAAGTTCCTGCACCACTATGTCCATTGCAACATTATTCACAATAGCTAAGATTTAGAAATAACCAAAGCACCCATCAAAGGATGAATGAATAAAGAAGATGTCATCTATATATACAATGGAATAGTACTCAGTCATAAAGATGAAATTATGCCATTTGCAACAATATGGATGGAACTTGAGGGTGTTATTCTAAGCAAAATAAGTCAGACAGAGAAAGACAAATACTGTATGATTTCACTCATATCTGGAAGATAAAACAACAACAAACACAGAGATATAGAGAATAGATTGGTGGTTACCAGAGGGGAAGGGGGTGAGGGGAGGGCTAAAGGGGTAAAGGGGCACATGTGTACGGTGACGGACGGCAATTAAACTTTTGGTGGGGAACACAATGTAGTCTATACAGAAGTCGAAATATAATGATGCACACCTGAAATTTATGTAATGTTATGAACCAATGTTATCTCAATTAACCAAGAAAAAAGAGAGAAGTTCCTGAAACGATTAACATTTAATCCATTTCTCTGCTTTGTAAACACAATTTTAAACATTTACCTATGTGTTAATACCTTTGTAATTTACAAAATAATTTAACTTTCATCTATATGACTTGAGAAATGTAGGTTTTTGTTTCAGATGGCTGGGAGAAAAATGGGAACATTTTTGGAACCAAGCATTTTCCCCTTTTAATGACTCCAAACTTAAAAGGGAGTCAGAGAAACTAGAATCTGCTCCCTGTTCTGTCTTTTAAGAAATTCACAAGTATAGCTATTGCTATTTATTGGCTGCTACAAGAATTGTACACATTGTATTTCTATTACCTACAACAACTTCAAAGTTTAGGTATTATTACTCACAGTTCTTGGGTGAGTAAACAGAAATTCAAAGATGTCAAATCACTTACTCAAAGTCTGCTTAAGGAGTTCTAAAGCTGAGCTTGATATGAATTTTAAGGATGCTTTTTCTCTATACCAGTGCTTTCAAATCATAATGTGCATATATCTGCCAAAAATGCAGATTCTGATTGTGTGGGTCTGAAGTGGAACCAAGGATTCATCATTTCTAACAAGCATATAGGTGATGTCAACACTGCTGGTCCATGGACCACACTTTGAGTAGCAAGGTTCTTTACTACACTACCTTCCCAAATTCAGACACCCTTGGTTCCTCAATAATTTCATGGCCAGAGTTCTGCTTATAAAAATGACATTTTGCTTTCTTCTAGCTGGTGTGGACAACTTATATATTGGTTCTTCATATGTTAATTAATAACATTTCTCTTTCTCTTCAATCCCATCACACTGTAGCAAAAATTTTGGAGCAGCTGCAATTGGAGATCCCTTCATTAATTAAAGCAGAAGACTGTGTAACGAATCAGCACTGTTGTTCATTAGTGAGTGAACAGAGGAAAGAAAATGAGAGAAGCAATAGTTAACATAAGCAGCAGCAGAAGAAAAAATATTGAACAGTGAAATAGAAAGCCAGCCTAAGGAGAAAAGAACATAGAGGCAGATCTTAGAAAGTCACTCCAGGGAAATTTCTGTGGAAATTCTATGCAGGAGCAAAGAAGCATGACAAGGAAAAAGGAGGAATGAAAAAGCTATAAATGATATTTGACATCATAGTCTTAACTAAACTGTGATGTGCAAGTGGAAATCAATGAAGGCTAAATATTTAAGCATAATGACTGCCTAAAAGTGATTAGAGGGAATGGAAGGAGTAGCTATACATTTTATTGAAGCCATTGAAGTAAATGAGATAGGAGATACTGGAGACATAGAAGTGGGGGCAGAGTTATCATGGAATGAAAGCAGAGAGGATAAAGAAAGAAGGCTTGAGAATCAAATTTCAGTGTAGACGTGAACTGAAGATCAAATCAAACAAATAGCCAATGAACTGAC